AGACAGTAAATTGGTTCACAGTACCACAAGGTGTCAACGTTACTTATTACATTGACCTCCTTCAAAAGGGTAATGGATCTCCCATTTAAAAAATAATAATTGAACGTTATCAATCAAGAAAACACAGTATTACGATATGACTTTAGCAAGGAGAACAAACATTGTCAGAAAGTCAGTTAGACATGTTGTAGTCTGTCTTCCACCAAACAGTCGACCAAGTGCGGACCTGTAAGCATCCACTAACGGTCAGGCTGTCCAGAGAGAAAGCTCTTGGTTTAATAACATGTTGAGGTTACTGTGAATGGGACTTAATCAAGCATGAATCTTTTTTTTAAAAACTTGAGTTAATCAAGCATGACTCTTCACTGCCCCTCTACACACTAACCATCCACTCCAACTGAGGGATATCACTCAATTACTGTATAGTCAGGGGCGGACTGGGACCAGAAATCGGCTCTGCCATTTCTAACACACTGGCCAATTTTTTCCCTTGAGGCCTTCACAACGGCCCATTTTATTCCTTGAGGCCCCCATTATTAGCCAGATGATTATCATTTTGCACAAAAAAACTACGTTAGACAGGCCCACTAAGATAAAAATGGACCAGCCCATCTGGCAAGTCCGCCGCTGTGTATAGTCTCTCTTTAAATCAGCTTTTACACCTTCAAGTTGATTGGAGGGCTACTCGATTGTGCTCACACCTGTTCCAGGCATACCAGCGTTAACCTCTTCATATGTTTGAGATTTAACTCCATCTGTCATCATCAAAAACAAAAGCTCCATACTCAATTATATGTTTTACTATAATTTTGCTGCAACAACCATTTCGATGGTAGGAAGATTTGGTCAAAAGATGGGGGAACCCCCATGTCCCTCTTCAGATTACATTTATGGCATGATACTTAGTATAGCACCAGTAAACAGACATCACAGGTGCTTGAATGTCCTCTCCAGAGAGTAGAGGTACTTCAGCTGGCAGAGAGGAAGCAGAGAGAGAGAGAGAGAGAGAGAGAGAGAGAGAGAGAGAGAGGAGGTACTTCAGCTGGCAGAGAGGAAGCAGAGAGAGAGAGAGAGAGAGAGAGAGGAGGTACTTCAGCTGGCAGAGAGGAAGCAGAGAGAGAGAGAGAGAGAGAGAGAGAGAGGAGGTACTTCAGCTGGCAGAGAGAGAGAGAGAGAGAGAGAGAGAGAGAGAGAGAGAGAGAGCGAGAGAGAGAGAGAGAGAGAGCGAGCGAGAGAGAGAGATTAGAGCCATACCTTATTTACTGACAGATGTCCGTTTTGCCCCATGGGGTTTGGAAGCAGCAAGAGTGGGTGTCCCGTGAATATGACCTCATTGTGGATGTCACAGAACAAATGGGACAAATGTAATAACGCAGGGGCAGATGCAGCGGGGCGCAACTTTCAGGACATTACAGAAATATAAATAGAAAAGTAATGTATAGAGAGGATATTGCTCTCTGTATTTTACATTATACTAGAGAATTTCAGTTCTAGACATTATATTTCTTTATGATATGCCCCAGGGTTTTTCTACATGTTAACTGCCCAAACATCATTCCAATAGCTGTTACAGCAAAATAGAGTCCTCATTTTCTGAAAATAGTCCTCGCCAAAAATGCCACAATTTTACAAAGCGAGAGAGGGAAATTCATATCAATATGCTGATAATATCTGGTGAGGAAAATAATCTGAATACAATCATTCTTACTTCTATCTAAAAGAACAAGCAAAGCTGGCATCTGATTGTGTTTAAACTAGGTAAAACAGGATGAAAACTAAGTAATGTATACCATTGTTATGTGTACACTGCCACATAATGCATTTGTAGTAGCGGAATAAACCAATTTTAATGGATGGCAATTGGTGATGGTATGTTCTCTGTATGTGTTGTTATTTATTTTGCAGGTGACAGTTGTACCACAAAGAGGAGAACGTCTGGTCATTAAAAACTATCTTCAGCTATGATTTCGCTCTCCATTTTGTTGTAAATAAACACTGTGGAGGGGAACGTCCTAAAAACATGATCACCGAAGTCCTTATTGATAGAAACATATACACAGTCCTCGGGGGGACATCCAGCAGCTTAGGCCCGGTTCCAAGGGGAACTATGAGCCGTCGTCACCAATGCAAGGCTACGGGGCCACACCCATTAATGTACAGGCCCAGCTTAACGAGGCTATTTATGTCTACATGTATAAAACGATCCTCCGACGCTAACTATACAGAGTGGCCGATGGGAGAAATGATGATGCCTTTTTTCCAATAAGTGTGGCCACTCACCCCTCTGTATTACGTAACTCTCACCGAGAACTTGGAGTGTGAAAAGGTCCCTATGGGAGTCATTTATTGAATTATGTTCCCACTGCCTCTCCCTGTCTGCCCCGGAGGTTACTACCAGCTGCAATATGCTAATGCTGCTCCAATCCCTTTCGGCTAATGTGGTTGGGCATACACTTGGAGATATCAAAGAGGATAGGAAATGATCCACATTTTCAGTTTTTTTTCTCGATGGACAGTGGTGAGGAGGAGGAGGATTGGGGCTTTCTGTGGAGATGTTTCTTGGACTGAGAGTCTCCCATTTCTGCATCCATCATCCTGCTCACCCGGAGAAGGTCTGAGGGAAACAGGATGAAATGTTACAAATCAGCTTGTCTGTGGCAGGCTGTCGTGGCTTCTCTGCTTAATTTAGCTGTGAAGAGAGAGAGAGAGGCCCATTCCGGCGCCCCGAGCCATGCGTCAGGACCTGATCCATGAAACAGTGTGTCCTCCATGTCCTCCATCTCACACGATCACTTCAACCAAGGCTATAAATTCAGATCTATGATCAAATCTCACTTCTCGTTCAGAAAGCCTTGCATAAAATGTTTCAATTTTGCAAATTGGTTTTCAGAACGTGTCCATCTACGGTAATATTGAACACTGACATAACTCGTCAGCCGTCTGAATTGGTGTTTTGTCATCCAATAATACATCAACCTCTATTCAGTGATCAAAGTCACCGAAAACCAATAAATGCCATTTAATAAACAGGGAAGGTCACTTAGAGCAAAAACATAACATTTGTTACGAAGAAACGTAATGTATAGAACAGATCAGATCCTCTGTCGTGCGGAATAGAGTTCCCATCTGTTCATTCTCTATCTATGTTACATTTCTATCTGCAGTGCTCTGGACATTGTTCTCAACTGAACAAGTGCCCTTCACCTTTCACAAAAACACAACATCAACACAACAACAGCAGCTGAATAGAGGCATATTGTACAGAACAGACAAGATCCTCTGCCATCTGGAAAAGAGATTCACATCCATTCTATGCATTCTATGTCTATGTGTTTCCAACTGAACACGACCCTGTGGTGTCAGAACAGAGGACAGCAGAGGACAGGACTAGATGACGTGGCTTGAGGGCAAGACCGTGGGGGGATACAGTGCTCACTCATGTCAGGGGGTAGGAGGTTGTGTGTGGGAGGTGGGGGGGGGTTTGGACTATTTACTTCAGATGTCCTTGCCTTGAGGTTTCTCCCCATTTCAATGTGCACACTGTGCACACATGTACAATACTGTTGACCGTGGAGGAAAAGCTAGCTGGATGATAAAACAATGTCATTGCGCAATGCACTCTCCTACCCACACTCATGATAGTGTCAGTCGGAACGTCAGTGAGTTCCACAGAATTGAATTGCACTAAGTGCATAGTTGAGAGAAGACAGGAATGATATCTTGATATCATTAGGTTTTGAAATCTTATACCATACGGAAATGGTGGTGTAGGATTGAGTCAAATTGATTGACTGATGGCTGGATAGCTGCATCAAGTCAATACAGGTAACGCTGGCCATTGTTTTGACTAATGCTACAGTCATGGCAGATTCTGAAGAACATACAGACAAAGAGACAAGCATAAGGCTCCAATGTCATACCTTACGCTCTACAGCAGCTCTATATCCATGTAGGCATTCCTGTGGGAAACAAGCTCTAGTTAGCTCAGATTCAGCAGCTCCTAGATCATTCTAACCCCGGAGGGAAACACCTCACTACAGGCGAGGTGTTACTAGCTGCCGGTTTGGATTGAGACACATTGGGATTTAGGACCTGCATCGTCCCACTGAACCTGACAAAGCTGAGGTTGAGAAAAAGACAGCCCTGTAATCCAGCCATGTACAAAGCAGGTGGGGAGGAATCAGGCCCAAAGCCTTTTTACACATGACTGAGGAAACACAGTCAGGAGAGGCAAGAACATGGCTGCTGAGGTTGTGCTCTCTGTGCAGCTGGGGATAAGAATGGGAATGAGAAATGGAGAGAGTGGAGAAAGAGAGGAAGAGGGGAGAGAGAGACAGCTGAAGCCAGAGGGCGAGAGAGAGAGAGAGACAGGTGAAGCCAGAGGGCAAGAGAGAGAGAGAGAGAGAGAGAGAGAGAGAGAGAGAGAGAGAGAGAGAGAGAAGCCTAATAACTGGAGTATGCTGGCCTCTAGTGCCAGACTTGGGATCTGTTTATGGTTATGAGAATATAATTGAATTATAGATAATGAGATGAGCTATTTTGCAGATCTTAGATAGTGGTTGTAATGTGATTAATAGGGTAGGATTGATATCAAACTGAAGAGATGCCCCTGATGAATTTGCAGAATTGATTTTGTATTACCGGAGATAACCTTTTTCAGAATAAACATCATTATTTAATAGGGAAGTATTTTCTTTTCCAAAACACATTCAAAACACCTGTTGAGGTAAAATACTATTCTCTTCCAAAACACATTAAAAACACCTGTTGAGCTAAAATACTATTCTCTTCCAAAACACATTCAAAACACCTGTTGAGGTCAAATACACTGAGCATCAGAGGTTTGAGCAGTGTTCTCTCAGAGTTGTCACGATCTAGGTTTAGGATGTAAATATTTATAGCCGTTCTCCCACAGAGATTAGCCTAGCGGTGCCAGCCAACCAGCAGCACCAACACAAGGGCTGTTCAGGTTTAATATTTAAGCTCTGCTTCCCTCTTAGCTCGACCGCCTGCGATAACACAGCTGAGTCACCTGAGAAGGGCTGGCTGGGCCTGCTGTAGGGGCAGCCATTTTGAGAACAGTTTCTGCATCACAGCACTCAAAGTTCTGCTGCTCTGAACTGACCAGTGTGGAACTTGTCCTTAGCAACAACAAGGTAAGCTGCCTACATTTTAAAGGACGTTTTTAACTTCTACATTACATTATATAAACCTGACTTTCACCATAAAGAAAATCATAGAGGGATTTAATTAGGACTTTATTTGAAGTTATAGTTTGATCATTTGTGTAGACGTTAAGCCTAAGTGTGAGTTTATTGTGAGCCAAAGTTACGTTTTAAGCCTCTTTTGTCTTGTGAGTTGTAGCAAGTAGCATACTGTAGAAATGCAGGGTTTAAAGCAGAAAGCAATTTAGTTCTCCTTTTTTGAGTTGGGAGCAAGGAGCTGGAAACACCATGCTCCCGCTGAGAACCTAAACTGTTTCTGACATTGACTGCACAATGTGATAAATGAGTTTTCCTCAGACTCCTGTGAGGGAGAGGCTATTGTATGCGCTGTAAAGACAAAAAGTGTTTTACAAACATTCCGCCACGGTCATTTTCTTTCTCAAGATCAAAGATTCTTGTGGAGCTCTATTTTTAGCTGACCTATAATAACATATCTGTGCCACATCATTATAATAAAGGGGGGTGAGTAGAAAATGATGTCATATAGAGAAAAATAAGAGAGAAAAAAACAATGAACACCCTTGTTTTTCTTGCACTAATACTCGCACTTTTATTTTCTACACTCTTAGAAAAGGGTTCAAAAGGGTTCTTCGGTTGGCCCCATAGTAGAACCATTTTTGGTTCCAGGTAGAGCTCTTTTGGGTTCCATGTAGAACCCTCTGTGTAAAGGATTGTACATTGAACTCAAAAGGGTTCTACCTGGAACCAAAAAGTGTTTTTCAAAGGGTTCTCCTATAGTCCCAGTCAGTATTAGATAGAATGTCGCGGCCCCGCCTGCCTGTGGGGAAAACAAGCTGTGGTTACCTAAGTTACCCCATTGGCTCACAGAAAAAACTTGACCTTTTTCAAACACAATTTTCTTGTTGTCTGCTTGTTTTAGTCAATTGCAAAGCTACATTTGAGAAAAGTAAGTCTAATGATTACTTTTCAACATTGCCTGCTCTCAAGCGTTCTCTTAGAAAAACGTAATATTGTAGGGCTTCCCTCATGCCCCTTGTCATGATGGTGCTAGCAGCCATGTGAGTGAGTGCTACATTTTACATTTACATTTTAGTCATTTAGCAGACGCTCTTATCCAGAGCGACTTACAGGAGCAATTAGGGTTAAGTGCCTTGCTCAAGGGCACATCGACAGATTTTTCACCTAGTCAGCTCTGGGATTAGAACCAGCGACCTTTCGGTTACTGGCACAACGCTCTTAACCACCAAGCTACCTGCCTCTGCTAACCAGATATCGACTGGAACATTCAGCTAGCCAAGACCAACAACACAAACAAACAGACTATACAGCCAGAAATACTTTAAAGTACTACTTAAGTAGTTTTTTGGGGTATCTGTACTTTACTATTTATATTTTTTTACTACTTTTACTTCAATACGTTCTTAAAGAAAATACTGTACTTTTTACTCCATACATTTTCCCTGACACCCAAAAGTACTCGTTACATTTTGAATGCTTAGCAGGACAGGAAAATGGTTCAAATCATACATTTATCAAGAGAACATCCCTGATCATCTCTACTGCCTCTGATCTGGCAGACTCACTAAACACAAATGCTTCATTTGAGTGTTGGAGTGTGCCCCTGGCTAGCCGTAAATAAAATTTAAAGGAAAATTGTGCCTTCTGGTTTGCTTAATATAAGGAATTTTTGATTATTTATACTTTTACTTTTGATACTTAAGTATATTTTAGCAATTACATTTACTTTTGCAATGTAAGTATATATTTTTTACTTTTACTTACAATAAGTAGTATTTTACTGGGTGACTTTCACTTTTACTTGAGTCATTTTTTATTAAGGTATCTTTACTTTTACTCAAGTATGACAATTGGGTACTTTTTCCACCACTGTATGTATACAGCTGAAAGTAGTGAGTGGAGTTACAAACAGACTATACCAAACAAGTTAAATGTCTTACCTGTGATTAAATGTTTTCCACACACATAGCTACGCGTAGCCTACTTGGACACTGGGTCCCCACATTTCCCATGCCGAATAGCCTGAAGCCACAGGGCTCTTCTCACAATATCTATATCCCTACGTGGGAACCTAGTTACAATGAACAACACAGCAGCTTTTCCACATGTTTGGTTATTTCTGTATAACAAAAAATTGACAACGAAGTTGTCTCTTTTACAATGGCGGTCAATGGGAAAGAATGTTTGTTTTCCTCATTTTGTGGGCGTGGTCGAGGGGAATTCGTTCTTATGACGTGAATATCGACTTGGATTATGGGGACACCTGAAGAACTCTTTTAGGTTCTAGATAGCACCTTTTTTTCTAAGAGTGTCACACTGACTTAGCTGCTTTATTGAGGAAAAATGTACTTACTATGACTTTGATAGGTGGTTGTCTCACCTAGCTACCTTAAGATGAATGCACTAACTGTAAGTCGCTCTGGATAAGAGTGTCTACTAAATGATTCAAATTAAAATGTAAATATTGGATTAATTGGTCAAAATGTTAGTCAATATTAACAATTATTACAAGCGAAAAAATACACAGCATACATATTCAAAAATGCTAAATCCCTGTTACGGTAGGCCTAACCCTGTTTTGTTTTTTGTTCCTCTATGATTCACACAGTTCCTCTATGACAAGAAAATTAACTTAATCTTTCTTCCATCCTCAATGATTAACTAAGCCCACTTACTGTATAGCAGCCCATAGCATGAAAAACTGGAGTAAAATATTCAAGAGAGGAGACATTGAGAGTGTGGATGGGAACTTCTCTTCGAAGAGAAACTCCTCGAACAATGCCCCAGCAGAGCTAACACCTCAGAGGACATTTGAGGACGACCTTTCAGATGATGCAAACTCCACTGCCCACTCATCCATCACTCCTCCACATGTACATGGAGAGGGTGATGGCGGGGACGAGGGGACCCTAAAGGACAGGTTGAAAACCCTCCTCCCCCAATCATGGGGCAGTATTCTCCACAAATTGGGGAAAGGTGATGCAGACTCTGATCTGGGTTCCACTGGGGTCAAGATTGTGCCCAATGGTACCAGGGTGAGTCCACCTGTCAGCCCCATAATGGAGAGGAGGTACTGGGACACTCAGGACTCACTGGGGACCTCCAGCAAGAGTTCCCGTAGGCCCTTGTTGAGGGACAGTCCCATAGACAGTGACCTACTCCATTATCTTCCAGAGGAATCAGAGCTGACCAGTATCCATCCAGCTGAGTACTATGCTGAGAAGGTGGAGGTCTACAAACTAAAGTACTCCTATATGAAATCCTGGCCTGGATTATTGAGACTCCTGGCTGGGTTTGAGCTTCTCTTTGGGGGTATGGTCCTCGCCTGTGTCTGTGCCTACATCTATAAGGACAGTGAGTGGTCAAACGCCTATGGACTGTATAACAACAGGCATGGCACGTCGGGGTACTCCTATAACGGACCCATGACTCCATTCGTGATGGCGGTGGTTGGGGTGGCGTGGATTATAACCATCCTCCTACTGGTGATAGGGCTGACCATGTACTACCGTACCATTCTCCTGGACTCCCCCTGGTGGCCTCTCACAGAAGGCATCATCAACGTCGCCCTGTTCCTCCTCTACATGGCGGCTGGTATCGTGTACCTGAATGACCTCAACCGTGGGGGGTTGTGTTACATGACCATAGGCATTAACCCCATAATGTCCAGCCTGTGTCGGGTTGACGGGGGACAGATGGCTGGCACGGCTTTCATCTTCATCAACATGCTGATGTACCTCATCAGCTTCCTGGTGTGTCTGAAGATGTGGAGGCATGAGGCCACTCGCAGGGAGATGGAGTTCTTTGAGAACCAGGTAGGTGGTTGATGTTTCTTCTTGATTTTTTTTTGTGCTCACTGATCCTCTTTCACCTCCCCATTCAAGTGAGGTCAATGAAGTGTATTAATCTAATGTGCTCCATTGCACTAAAGTTCGACCTAAGGATGAGCCATTATTCTAAACAACCTAGCCTAGAAGCCTCTGACGCTCTCTCTATGTTGCGCTTTTCTCTGTCTGAGGTATGATACTTATTACTGAGGGAACCCGACTCATGGTATTTCTATTGCTCATTGGCATCTGGAAGTTACTATGGGAATGGTGTCAGATCAAACAGTTCTTAGAGGTCACAGAACGTGCTGTTATGACTGGGAATGAGTAAAAAAATGCCTAAGATCTCAAAACAACAGCAACAAAACTACCCATGTGGATACGTATGGGGACACCATTGTTTCATATAGTCCTGCAGCTGGCTGTTTCAGCCCAAGTCTATTACTGTTAGTAAATCGAGTCCATCTTAACAGTTCTCACAGCAACCACCTATGGGTAAAAAGCCACAGAGCTATTGTATTTGATGTCAGATAAACAAGGGTCGGAAGTCGAGGAGTAGCCAATGTAGCCAAATAAGCTTAGTTTGTCAATTGAAGACAACTTATATGAACATTATGATTCTCGACCATATGTGTTTCATCTCTGTAGGGAGACGAAACACATATGATTGATAAAGCTGAACACTACAGTTAAATATATACACTACCAGTCAAAAGTTTGGACACACCTACTCATTCAAGGGTTTTTCTTTATTTTTACAATTTTTCACATTGTAGGCTAATAGTGAAGACATCAAAACTATGAAACAACACACATGGAATCATGTAGTAACAAAAAGGTGTTAAACAAATCAAAATATATTTTATATTTGAGATTCTTCAAATAGCCACCCTTTGCCTTGATGACAGCTTTGCACACTCTTGGCATTCTCTCAACCAACTTCATGTGGTAGTCATCTGGAATGCATTTCAATTAACAGGTGTGCCTTCTAAAAAGTTAATTTGTGGAATTTATTTCATTCTTAATGCATTTGAGCCAATCAGTTGTGTTGTGACAAGGTAGGGGGGATATACAGAAGATATATTTGATAAAAGACCAAGTCCATATTATGGCAAGAACAGCTGAAATAAGCAAAGATAAACGACAGTCTATCATTACTTTAAGACATGAAGGTCAGTCAATACGGAACATTTCAAGAACTTTGAAAGTTTCTTCAAGTGCAGCCGCAAAAATCGTCAAGCGCTGTGATGAAACTGGCTCTCATGAGGACCGCCACAGGAATGGAAGACCCAGAGTTAACTCTGCTGCAGAGAATAAGTTCATTAGAGTTACCAGCCTCAGAAATTGCAGCCCAAATAAATGCTTCACAGAGTTCAAGTAACAGACACATCTCAACATCAACTGTTCAGAGGAGACTGTGTGAATCAGGCCTTCATGGTTGAATTGCTGCAAAGAAACCACTACTAAAGGACACCAATAAGGAGAAGAGACTTGCTTGGGCCAAGAAACTCGAGCAATGGACATTAGACCAGTGGAAATGTGTCGTTTGGTCTGATGAGTCCAAATTGGAGATTTTTGGTTCCAACCGCCGTGTCTTTTGTGAGACGCGGTGTGGGTAAACGGATGATCTCTGCATGTGTATTTCCCACCGTAAAGCATGGAGGAGGAGGTGTTATGGTGTGGGGGTGCTTTGCTGGTGACACTGTCTGATTTATTTAGAATTCAAGGCACACTTAACCAGCATGGCTACCACAGCATTCTGCAGCGATACACCATCCCATCTGGTTTGGGCTTAGTGGGACTATCATTTGGTTTTCAACAGGACAATGACCCAACACACCTCCAGAATGTGTAAGGGCTATTTTACCAAGATGGAGAGTGATGGAGTGCTGCATCAGATGACCTGGCCTCCACAATCCCCCGACCTCAACACAATTGAGGTGGTTTGGGATGAGTCGGACCGCAGAGTGAAGGAAAAGCAGCCAACAAGTGCTCAGCATATGTGGTAACTCCTTCAAGACTGTTGGAAAAGCATTCCAGGTGAAGCTGGTTGAGAGAATGCCAAGAGTGTGCAAAGCTGTCATCAAGGTAAAGGGTGGCTATTTGAAGAATCTCAAATATAAAATATATTTTGATTTGTTTAACACTTTTTGGGTTACTACATGATTCCATATGTGTTATTTCATAGTTTTGATGTCTTCACTATTATTCTACAATGTAGAAAATAGTAAAAATAAAGAAAGACCCTTGAATGAGTAGGTGTGTCAAAACTTTTGACTTGTACTTTACATAACTTCACACAGTTGCAGTCATCATATGAGGCAGGTTGTTTTCACCCTTTCAGCACAGTGTACATGTGTCATCGGATGCTTTGGTATCTAATATACTTTGAGTTGTTGCATGATATCTAATTCTTCAACTTTGGCTTCAGGAGCATCTGAGGCCCATCTCAGGAGCATCTGTGGCCCAGACCAAACCTCCTAATCCCCAGACCAAGAGGATTGTGTTTGAGGATGAGATGGACAGCTCAGTGAGGGCGACCAAACGCCAGCACCTCACAGAGTTCCAGCAGGAGGAGCCAGGCAGCCGGAACAGAGCCAACCCCACAGGGTACGCCCAGAAGCCCAGAGTCATCGCAGACTATGTCATGTGAGTGAGAGGATATGCCTAATATCCTGACACTGATTTTGTTTAAGGATGTGAGGCTCTCATGCTGAGGTACACGTGGAGCGACAGGAAGTGCTCATATTTGGTTAAATTGTATTAGGTGTAATAATGATATTTAGTTGACATTATCTAACATATCCTTGTGTCTTACCCTATCCCATCAGTAAATATCCAGAAATCTTCTCTATGGAAGAAAGGGAAAAATACAAAGCTGTTTTTAATGACCAGTATCAGGAGTACAAGGACCTTCACAAAGATATCAGTGCCACCTTCATGAAGTTCAGAGAGCTGGATGCCATGATGGGCAAACTCCTCAAAGATGGCAATCGTCATGAGGTGAGTGATTTAATCTAACTCTGCAAATCTGGGCCTGAGCCTCGATGGTGTTTTCGATCTCACTATGATAGATACACCACGATACTTTCCTTTTTCTGGAAGTGTAACTACACTTGAACTCAATATAATGAGCATTTTTGCTATCTTATTGTCACTGTCACTGATCAATGAGAGGTACATTCCATTCCATGTCCTGCACAAAGGCTTCCACTAAAAATAGCATGTGACATCCGCATAATACTATTTTTTAACATGAATATCTTTCATCCTTTTAACCAATTGAATTATGGGTGTTTTGTTCTGTCCATTATGTAGGAGCAGAAGAGAATCAAGCGGATTTTGAAGAAGTACGAGCAAAAAAAATTTGTACGTGGTGAATGGAGATCCCTAACATTTCTCTCACGTTTCCTCGCTCACACTGAAACAATTCCAAAAATCATTCAGCAATAATTTTAACGTTCAACTGAGATGTATTAGAATTGTTACTGTTGTGTAAACACCCAGGTAATATTTGCTTTTTCAATAAAGCTGCCCGTTCATGTGGATAATATTGCTGCGGCTGAAATGGGGCCTCTAGAAATTCTCATTTAACACCTCTTACATTACAAAAAGAATCAGGCTGTGGGGAAATATGTGGAGTGATGGAGCTGCAGTCAACACGATGTGTGTTTCTTTGTGACTTCACAGAACCCTGCCTTCCTGGAGAAGAAGGGACGATGTGACTATCTGAAAGCTAAATTAAGCCACATCAAGAACAGGATCCGCAATTTCGACCAGGGCACCTTGGCAAAGGGTCGGACCTGAAGAAATAGCTCACAGAGGGAACAAAAGGAACATAATTATTCTGTTCTTGTCACGTCTTTGATTGTCATTCTCTGTGAGATTGTTTCGTTATTTCAGCACCAATTGTGTTTTTGGTGTGTTTTTTGTCTGTACAAATCAGTATCTGTGTGTTGTTCCATTGTAGCCTACATCATGTTTTGTACTACTGTAAAGATTACTTGGCCAGAAATATTGTTGTGTGAGTTTCAGTCATGGAGTGAATGAACTCATAAACCAACCCAGCGCGCAATTGTGTACCTTTGGACTTTTGCGGACAATGCTAACAGGGTCAATTCACATTGCATTGACTAACATCGCATTTACAGGGCTATACATACACACTATCAAATTTTTTTTTGTATTTTTTGTATTTTCTTTATATGAATTGTTAAATATTAAAAATTTTAAAAGGGCAGTAGGGCACAAACAATCCACTTGAATCTATAACGCAGTAATGACACATTTTTATCCATAATAATGGATGTATAAACATTTGTTTTAGTAATTTATTTGAGCAAAAATATATATTTGTATAAAAATATATTCCTGTCAAGAGTTATGCAGATAAGCCTATACAGCAGGTGCAAACACTTCCAGAAGTGTTTATATCTCTCCTCCACATTACTGATCTGAAAAACGTGATACGCAACATACAGTATAAGGTAGGCTATAGCTGTGTTCGAATACCCATACTAACATACTGTATACTACATACTTAATGAGTATATACTACATACTATATACTCAATTTACGTCACAAATAGTACGGTTAGTGCGGTTAGTATGAGTATTCGAACGAACACAGCTTTTCTCTCCAGTCTCCACATTTTGAAGGAGAGAGTGGTAGTTTTTGAAAAGTCTACTGTGTTGAGACCATAGACTGGTTGAGACCCTTGCGCACAGGCATGCGCATTGGAGCAGCCACTAGAACAGGCAGTGTCCACCTTTTAATAGTTTCAGGAGATGTAGCCTACATGCGTGAGGAAGCTTCGAAAAGTAGTCCTATTTTCTAAGTGATAATAGCTGTAATGTTATTTTGTTGTTGTTGTTGTTGCACAATGACCGTTTCAGGTAAGTGAACATTATCAGTTGGCACTACAATTATTTTTGATAGGCTGTGTTGGTGACACGAAATTTTGAATGTAATTTAAGAACTCCATCTGGTCAGCTGTGGAAAATTAAAGTAGCATATAGGATATCATTCTGCAGTTACTTTTTTTGTTTATGTGTGTGTAAGCAGAAAAGCTGTTAAACGTTTAAGGATTGCGTTTAAGCTTTTCCTTGTTACTTTATTTTATTTCACCGTTATTTATACAGGTAAGTAAATGAAGAACAAATTCTTATTTATTTACAATGACGACCTGTCTAACACATTAATAAACAACACATCAATAAACAACAATTACATATAGTGCATTCGGAAAGTATTTAGACCCCTTGACTTTTTCCAAATGTTGTTATGTTACAGCCTTATTCTAAAATTGATTGCATTTTTTTTTTCCTCATCAATCTACACACAATATTCCATAATGACACAGCGAAAACAGTTTAAAAAAACAAAAACAGAAATACCTTATTTGCATAAGTATTCAGACCCTTTGCTATGAGACTTGAAATTGAGCTAAGGTGCATCTTGTTTTCATTGATCATCCTTGAGATGTTTCTACAACTTGATTGGTAAATTCAATTGATTGAACATGATTTGGAAAGGCACACACCTGTCTATATAAGGTCCCACAGTTGACAGTGCATGTCAGAGCAAAAACTAAGTCATGAGGTCGAAGGAATTGTCCGTAGAGCTCCGAGACAGGATTGTGCACAGATCTGGGGAAGGGTACCAAAACATTTCTGCAGCATTGAAGGTCCCCAAGAACACAGAGGCCGCCATCATTCTTAAATGGAAGAAGTTTGGAACCACCAAGACTCTTCCTAGAGCTGACCGCCCGGCCAAACTGAGCAATCGGGGGAGAAGGGCCTTGGTCAGGGGGGTGACCAAGAACCCAATGGTCACGCTGAAAGAGCTCCAGAGTTCCTCTGTGGAGATGGGAGAACCTTCCAGAAGGACAACCATCTCTGCAGCACTCAGTGGCCAGACGGAAGCCACTCCTCAGTAAACAGCACATGACAGCCCACTTGGAGTTTTCCAATAGGCACCTAAAGGACTCTCAGACCAAGAGAAACAAGATTCTCTGGTCTGATGAAACCAAGATTGAACTCTTTAGCCTGAATGCCAAGCGTCACGTCTGGAGGAAACCTGGCACCATCCCTACGGTAAAGCATGGTGGTGGCAACATCATGCTGTGGGGATGTTTTTCAGCGGCAGGGACTGGGAGACTAGTCAGGATCAAGGGAAAGATGAATGGCGCAAAGTACAGAGAGATCCTTGATGAAATCCTGCTCCAGAGCGCTCAGGACCTCAGACTGCGGCGAAGGTTCACTTTCCAACAGGACAACGACCCTAAGCACACAGCCAAGACAAGGCAGGAGTGGCTTCGGGACAAGTCTCTGAATGTTCTTAAGCCAGAGCCCTGACTTGAACCCAATCAAACATCTTTGGAGAGACCTGAAAATAGCTGTGCAGCGACACTCCCCATCCAACCTGACAGAGCTTGAGAGGATCTGCAGAGAAGAAAGGGAGAAACTCCCCAAATACAGGTGTGCCAAGCTTGTAGCGTCATACCCAAGAAGACTTGATGCTGTAATCACTGCCAAAGGTGCTTCAACAAAGTACCGAGTAAAGGGTCTGAATACTTATGTAAATGTTTTTTTATATATATACATTTGCAAATATTCATAAAAAAACAGTTTTCGCTTCGTCATTATGGGGTATTGTGTGTAGATTGATGAAAAAACAACAATTTAATCAATTTTAGAATAAGGCTGTAACTTAACAAAATCTGGAAAAAGTCAAGGGGTCTGAATAACTTCCGAATACACTGTAACTAGAGTAGGGATGGGCAACTTTTGTAGGCCCGCAGATAATTTCCCCCCAAAATAAAATACATTGTTTTTTGTTTTGTAGAAAGTCAGTCGAGGTCTCAACTGTTGAGAGTTAGAATAGTAGAATACACAAGGTGCAATTTCGAATTTGGGTTGTGCATCAGCAGTTTCTCTTGTTATGTCAGTCACTGACTGTCACTCAATTAGCCCATGTCAGCTGACATTTTTGGGTTTGTTAAATTAGTCTAGCCAGCTACAGGATCTAAACGTGTAGTAATCATGGTCAAATTACCGACCATGGGCCCCCATTGAATTTGTTAGTCACTCTTACTCAGATATCATATTCAAAACTGCAAACATTTCTCTCCACCCTATGGAAAAATGTGTAGAATTGCATGAAATGAGTTATACAATTTTAAAATATTCTCTCCGCCCTATGGCAAAATGCTTTAAAACTGCTATATTTTCGCTACGCCCCATGGCAAGCTCTGACTACGTCTGTAATGTTATTGAAAAACGGTCACGTTTCTTCTCGCATTATCACATTGTGCAATAACAACCAAAAAGTTTAACATTATTTTTGTGGTCCCCAACCCATCAGTAGTTGCCCATCCCTACCATAAAGGCAACAAATCCACCAACTTTAAGGACTTTTGGAGATCATTCCAGGAGTGGTGTAAATTTTTTTTGACCTTCATGTTTATATTTATAGGCCTGCATGTTTTTATTTTCTTTTTTTATTTCACCTTTATTTAACCAGGTAAGCCAGTTGAGAACAAGTTCTCATTTACAACTGCGACCTGACCTGGTTTGTTAGTTGGGCAAATATTATTGTGCTTTTACTGTGGTGTGTAGGCCTATTTTTTGAATTGTATGCAAAAACATTTAATTCGTTTTCATCACTAGTAATAATTTAATACATGATATGGACTGTGGCCAGTGAATATAGCAGTATCGTGTATTTTGGATGACTGAAGCCTTGAACTTGCTTGCTTTGATGCATGTCAGCCTTTCATGAGTTCAGCTCTTGAATTATTTACTGTATCCTGCCTATCAGAGAGCGAAGACAGGTGTGTGTGTGTGTGTGTGTGTGTGTGTGTGTGTTCTAACTTTACTATCCTTTTGGGTTCCAAAAGTCCTCACAAGGATAGTAAAACAAGGAACATTTGACAAGTGGAGGCATTTCTCCGTCCCCAAAAGGAAAAATTCTATTTTAGGCTTAGGGGTTAGGTTTAGGGTTAGGGTTAAAATTAGGGTTAGAGTTAGAATTAGGGTTAGGGGTTATGATTAGGGTTAGGAGATAGGGTTAGGTTTAGTTTTAGGTCTAGGGTTAGGGGTTAAGGTTAAGGAAAATAGGATTTTGAATGCGAATAAATGTTTTGGTCCCCACTTGGATAGTAAACTATTTACTTTTTATTTTATTTTAATTTTTACTTTAGTTTATTTAGTAAATATTTTCTTAACTCTATTTCATGAACTGCATTGTTGGTTAAGGGCTTGTAAGTAAGCATTTCACAATAAGGTCTACAGCTGTTGTATTCAGCGCATGCGACAAATAAAAATGTATTTGATTTGAAAACCAACGTGTGTGTGTGTAGATCTAAACATACTGTAGCTCAGGTTAGAGTGGTGACTGTCAGAGGTAACCGTAAGGGCATAGTCACTATCATCATTACATGGCTTATATTGTACCCTGACCTCGTATATTCATCACATGTGGACAGGACACATGACACCTGGACTTAAGCAGCTGAGAGGTAGAGAGCACAGTGGAGCGCCTTGTGGAAAACACTACGTATCACTGTACACACTGCTGCTGGCTGGCTGGCTGAATTATTGAGGTCCACTGGGTTGAGTTGCAGTGGACTGATGAGTTGTGCTGGTCACTTAGGGAGAGGGAGCATTGTTGGCAACAAACCTAAAGAGAATACTGTCGGTTGGGCGAACACACGGAGAGAAGAGAGACATTCCAGGTCTATCCTATGTGTCATTCCAATGGGTTGTAATAGTACGTGATGTCATTTGATATCATGATATGATTTATATAATTTGCGATAAGATGTGATTTATTATGATAGTTAGTATGACATAATATTATGTATTTCTTGTTTTGCAGGCCTCCCTTCTCTCTGAATCATGTATGAGCCGCGGCACTATGACAGCCCACCCATCTATAGCCCTCCCTACACTGCTACCTCCAATGGATTCTACACCCACAGAAGTGTGCACTCCCCAAGGAGCAACTTTGACCCCTACCCTCCTCCCCCTGACTCATTCTATATGGAAGATAGGCCTCAGCACTTCTACAAATGGTTCTCTGCTCCTGGGCTTGTCAAAACCATGGAGGGAGCCACAGTCATCTTGTGTTTCCTCATTTTTGCCTGTGTTGCCTCCACGTTGGTCTGGGATATGCACGGAGCAGGAATAGGAATGAGGGGCTATGGAACTGGGTCAATGGGGATTGGCAGTGGCTACTATGGAGGCAGCTACGGCTATTCCAGCTCCTACATGACCCCCTATTCGGCCAAGTCGGCCATGATATCCATGGCAGCCATTAACTTCCTGGTTTCTCTGGGCTTCCTTGTGGGGAGTTTTTCTCGGTCGCCTGCCATGCGTGGTCGGAGGTTTTACCTGACAGTGCTAGTCTGTGACGTGGTCCTGGCAGTGCTGCAGGGCATCATTGACATTGTGTTTGTGATCGGTGTCAACCCCATGTCACAGAGCTCTCAGAGCATGCTCTATAACCCCATGCTGATGATGTGCCAGAACATGCAGGGAAGCCCCAGTCTGAGTGGGAGTGTGGGAGCGGGGTTCCCTGGGGGTTTCCCTATGTACAACCAGTATCTCCAACACTACTGCTACATGGACCCTGAGGAGGTGGGTCAAAGCTTTACTTCAATGCCCTCCGTAATTATTGGAACAGTGAAGCCTTTTATGCTTCTTTTGGTTATTTTCAAACATATTGGGTGAACTTACAGCACTTTTTGCACATAGTCAACCCCTTTTTAGGGCACCAAAAGTATTGGGACAAATTCAGTTATATGTGTATTACATTTGCTGTTGGTTTTGATTGTGTTTGAGATTAATTTCTATTGGGCACAAAATAATGGTAAATAATGTGTAATTTTGAAGTCATTTTTTGGGGGGGTATGATATTTTTCCGTCTGTAACTTTCATTCAGGATCATCTGTAATCATGGTAGCATCCACATTAATGTAGAAGTGTTTAGAAACATTTTCTATTCTTATTTACAATAAAAGTGACTCCAAAATGACACAATACATTATTACCATTATTTTCTATTGGGCACAAAATAATCTGAAACACAACCAAAGCAAACAGCAAATGCATCCAACATGTTTGTAGAGTGCCAAGCTTGATGTAGTCATTGCGTGCTATGAATTTGGAACCAAATACTTAACTTTTTAATAATTTTATACACAAGTGAATTTGTCCCAATACTTTTGGTGCCCTAAAATGGGGGGGAATATGTACAAAAAGTGTTGTAAACGGTTCACCCGATATGGATGAAAATACCCTCAAATTAGAGCAGACAGTCTGCACTTTAACCTCATTGTCATTTTTTAAAATATCAAATTCAAACTTTGAGAATGGAGCCAAAATAATAAAAAATGCTTCACTGTCCCAATAATTTCGGAAGGCACTGTACATCTTTACTTTATAAACCTTAATAGTTTACTACTACATGCTATGAAATACTGTTGACCCCTTTTTGTTTTCTCAGTTGGATAGATGTTCTAATAAATGACAATCACGCTAGCTAATCATATTACATTTAATTATAGATACTCTTTCATCACCTAAAGAAATGAGTCATATGTAGTGATAAGGACCCATCTAATTTATCCTATGTTTCAGGCTGTGGCGTTGGTGCTTGGGTTCTTAGTAGTGGTGGTGCTGTTTGTAGCTGCATACTACGCCTACAAAACCCGCAGTAAGATCTGGCGCCATGGCAAACCCAACATGATCTGGGACCGACCTCTGCTCAGACCACCTGAACGAAATGATGTACAGGACTGGGTAAGTGGAACATTTGATTTCTTGTGGTAGGTAAATGGCCTGAAATTCACTGCAGTATTCCTTTCCTACTCACAGTGGCCAAGAACATCCATAATGTGGTTGGTTACATCACAAACAGTTCACATGTTTGACCCAGTGCTTAATAATTAATTCCTTTGGGACCTGTCACCTGGATAACTAGATCAAAAGCACAGGTGTAAGTCACTGTTGGGGGATAGCTTAAAGGTGATAGAAGCTCTCAAGATAGTGGTTGGAAGAATAAACATGGCATTGTGGTGTGATCATTGGGTGGCTGTAGTCACCGATTATCCATTATATTGACAAGATACTCTAGTAGCCGCTCTAACAATGAAAATAAATGTCTTTTAAAAAAAGGAAGGCAGTTGGAAGGAGGCAAGCTCAAGTGGAACCATTCTAGCCAATGAGAGCACTTCTGACACCATGATCTTAGTCAGATATGACTGTACTGCTCAGCAGAGCACGAGCAAATGACTCAGCTTCAAAATGTTAGTGATCAATTTAGTGATGCCCGAGCCCTGCCCATACCCTAGTTCTTGATGACAAAATAGGCCCTACCCGGCCCTAACCCAATGTATAACGTCAGGGCCCGTCGGGCTCGGATCGGGTAGCTGAATCCGGAAAAGGTTGAAAAAACGATTATGGTGTTTCGAGTCCTGTGTAGTGCTGAATTAAATCCCTTCTCTTTTGGTGTTGTTTCCTCATTCTAAAGCTCCTAAACACTATGATGGTGTTTCGAATCCTGTCTAGTGCAGAATTAGATCCCTTCTTCTGGAGTTTCCAAATACTGTAAATGGGAATCCCTCTTATTGTACACAAAACATTAGGAACACCTGCTCTTTCCATGACAGACTGGCCAGGTGAAAGCTATGACCCCTTAGTGATATCACTTGTTAATCCTTAAGAGTCTATTGACACAAACATGCATCAATCTAAGTAACATAATAAAAACATCTCCATCAAAATCCTTCAGTTTAAGCTAGAGATATCAGATTTTTTGCAAGAGCTACATATCAGTCCTCTGCATCCGTCTATGTCGGCCTTCTGCATCTGCGGTGGAAGGTGTCCGAGCTACAGTGGTGTTTGTCAGACCATGAGAACTCCCGAAAAATCGGTCTTCTCACGAAAAAGGCTGTAGTGTCCGAACGGTTTGGCCTACAAACTACTCCACTCTATGGAAAGGGGAGACTCTCACGAATACAATGGTGCTCTCCGTTTTGCTCTACAACCCCCCACAAGTGTCATAGGACTCGTCTGAATGTAACCCATACAAACGAATGGAAGTATGGAGGTTGTTTTGTGCCAACAAAAATAAGAGGTTAAATATGTGTCCAAAAAAAACAACATTTCCTGATCTTTCTTATATCTCCTAGATATAGGACAGACACTTCAAAACCTTACAACTTATTATTTGACTGTCTTTTTTGCCATTTATGAATGTGTTATATCTAGGGTCTAGTAGTAAAGGCCAAATTCAATATTTTCAAATGATTGTTTTTATACCTAAAGGGGTCCTAAAATTCAAAATCAAATAGCTAAATGAACCATGGTATGACCATCTTAAAACAATTCCATATGTACTTTTAGAGGTTAAATCCACTTAAATCAGTATAGATGAAGGGGAGAAAGGTTAAAGAATAATTTTGAAGCCTTGAGACATGGATTGTGTATGTGTGCGATTCAGAGAGTGAATGGGCAAGACAAAATATTTAAGTGCCTTTGAACAGGGTATGGTAGTAGGTGCCAGGGGCACCGGTTTGTGTCAAGAACTGCAACACTGCTGGGTTTCACACACTCAACAGTTACCCGTATGTATCAAGAATGGTCCACCACCCAAAGGACATCCAACCAACTTGACAGAACTGTGGAAAGCATTGGTGTTACCATGGGCCAGCATCCCTGTGGAACACTTTCGACACCTTGTACAGATGTAGAATCTTAATTTCATCACTTTTGTTGTCAAATTAAGATCCTACATCTGTAGAGGGCAAAAAGCACTTCAGCCCAGGGCTCAATGCTACCCACCAGTCATCCATTATGTATGCTAAATGTCCTGACCTGAGTCTTTAAATTCAGATGATGGTACATGGTATGGAAGGTTGTTCAGATGAATTGAGTCGCAGTGCAGTTGAGTTAGAGTATATGATTCACAGTTGACAGTTCAGTTGGGATTAGTCTGTGATCCTGGTCTTGATTGGCTTTGGGTCGGATTGGCCAGCCGGTGGGTAACAAAGTATATATGTATGATTTTCTGCAGGGAGACAGAAATAGCAAAAAAATAACAAGCAATAATGATAGTACATGAATGTATAATTAGATTATCAAATGCTAGAATATTAATACATTGTATTATTAATATAATTACTAAACATATCAATAACAATATGCAAAAATAAAATACTTGGTTAAGTTATGCAAATATAGCAACAAGATAATATTGAATGTCAAAAGTGGGATGCAATAACGTGGTGTGGTAGGCCAAAGCTAGAGCATGCTAAAATGGCACTGGCTATAAAGTGTAGCAAATAACATGTGGGGTATACAGTACATCAAACAGTAGATACAACTCATAAAGCTAGTAGGAAAATAAGCCAGCAGTATTAACTCAAAAGCAGGCCTTAATTTGCATATAAAACAAGTACACGAAAGCTGCAAACAATGACGTGTCAATTAACAACTACATGTAGCATCAAGAAAACTGATCAATGAAACAAAATGGCTGTTTTACTTGAACTATTAGCATTAGCGGCCAAAATGCTACACAAAACAAATGTTCTTATTTGCTCTCACCTGTCTGAGTTCGTGAAGGACCCGATTACAACAAAGGTGTCTGCAAACTTGCCTGTTTTTATACTTGACCATAAAGTTTCCTAGAAGGCAAACCTGCCCACGAATGCCCTCCCTTCACTTCTATGCTTCAGACTGGGGGAATTCTGAACAGCACAGAAGCACAATGTTTGACATTCACATTTTGCCTTTAATCTAAACATTTGTCTTCTGATATGAAGGTATGAAAAAATAAAGGTGGAATTTCACCAAAAAACATTATCCTTAGGCCCTATTCAGACTTGAGATAAGATTTAACGTGCACTTTAAAAAATGATGACTGTAGTAAATGTTTTAATGAGTCCATGTTAAGTCTACTTATCTCAAGCCTGAATCGGGCCCCGTGTGATCAGTGTAACAAAGGTGGTTCAGCACAAGAGTTTCTTCCTGAGGACTGGCTGAGTGGCCTAAGGCAGTGTTTGGACAAGCAGGGGACCTGGGTTCACATCCACTTTCTCACATGAATACCAGCGATGAAGGCTCACTTTATACATGTGATTTTACTTTTAGATTTGTGTGTATTTTTGTGTATTGTTAGATATTACTGCACTGTTGGAGCTAGGAACAAAAGCATTTCTCTACACCAGCAATAACATCTGCTAAATATGTGTATGCAACCAATAACCTTTTATTTAATTTGACCTCATGTTACCTCTGCTATAACTTACATAGCCCTAAACATTTTGATTGTAAAATTAATTATAATCTCACAAAGTTGCCTGGCAACTGTATCCTATAATCAGTGACAAAGTCTACCCTAGGAAAAGTATTCAATTCCCAGTGTCTTCTTTAAATGTTTTATTAAAATATTGACAGTAAATTATATCAAAACATATAATCATTCAATATTTATGCTATAAACCATTTGCAATTTTAAAACATTTCATTATATGAGAGAGACAGTCTGCCAAAACCTTTACATGCACTGAAACACCAAAAAGTGTTTTCAAAACACTCTCTTAAAAACACAATTATTCATATTGAAGAACCACTTTGGGTGGCTCAGAGTACTTCCATTCTGTTTTGAGCCTTATTCTAAAATTGATTAAATTGTTTTTTCCCTCATCAATCTACACACAATACCCCATAATGACAAAGAAAATTTTTTTTTTTTTTAAAACGGAAATATCACATTTACATACAGTGGGGAAAAAAAGTATTTAGTCAGCCACCAATTGTGCAAGTTCTCCCACTTAAAAAGATGAGAGAGGGCTGTAATTGTCATCATAGGTACACGTCAACTATGACAGACAAAATGAGAAGAATAAAATCCAGAAAATCACATTGTAGGATTTTTTATGAATTTATTTGCAAATTATGGTGGAAAATAAGTATTTGGTCAATAACAAAAGATTCTCAATACTTTGTTATATACCCTTTGTTGGCAATGACACAGGTCAAACGTTTTCTGTAAGTCTTCACAAGGTTTTCACACACTGTTGCTGGTATTTTGGCCCATTCCTCCATGCAGATCTCCTCTAGAGCAGTGATGTTTTGGGGCTGTCACTGGGCAACACGGACTTTCAACTCCCTCCAAAGATTTTCTATGGGGTTGAGATCTGGAGACTGGCTAGGCCACTCCAGGACCTTGAAATGCTTCTTACGAAGCCACTCCTTCGTTGCCCGGTGTGTTTGGGATCATTGTCATGCTGAAAGACCCAGCCACGTTTCATCTTCAATGCCCTTGCTGATGGAAGGAGGTTTTCACTCAAAATCTCACGATACATGGCCCCATTCATTCTTTCCTTTACACGGATCAGTCGTCCTGGTCCCTTTGCAGAAAAACAGCCCCAAAGCATGATGTTTCCACCCCCATGCTTCACAGTAGGTATGGTGTTCTTTGGATGCAACTCAGCATTCTTTGTCCTCCAAACACGACGAGTTGAGTTTTTACCAAAAAGTTCTATTTTGGTTTCATCTGACCATATGACATTCTCCCAATCCTCTTCTGGATCATCCAAATGCACTCTAGCAAACTTCAGACGGGCCTGGACATGTACTGGCTTAAGCAGGGGGACACGTCTGGCACTGCAGGATTTGAGTCCCTGGCGGCGTAGTGTGTTACTGATGGTAGGCTTTGTTACTTTGGTCCCAGCTCTCTGCAGGTCATTCACTAGGTCCCCCCGTGTGGTTCTGGGATTTTTGCTCACCGTTCT